ATCGCGCGATTTACCTTCGTGTCGTCACGGCAAGGCCGAAGAATCCTTACAAGTCCTTACAGAGGACTTTAAGAGCCGTCATCTTTTCTTATAAAATAGTACTCTACTGCGTTCATTTAAAATCTAAAGTTTGAAAGAAAATTGAACGCAATTATCTTCGCCAGAATACTCTGTAATTTAGTAAATCGAATACTACACGTAATTTGTTGGTATTATCTGTTTTAGAAGAACAATAATAGAGAAAATATGTAATAAATATGATTGAAAGATTGGATTATTAATGATTTATTAGCGATTTGTAGCTTTTCTGCCGCAAAGTAGCAGTAATACATTCGTCGCTTACACGGAGAGAATTTTTTCTTAGAATTTACCCTGAAAATATGACAATCGTGGGACAACATTGTATTTCGAAGAATTTTAATATAAATCTCTCTCATTCATTAATAAAACTACAATAAAGTATAAAATAAGTTTGATCAATTTTACTGAAGTGCATGGTAAAAATCTTTAAAATATTGTATTGTACCACAATCACCATATTTTCAGGGTAAATTTTAAAAGAAAATTCTCTCCGTGTATATATGTGATAAATAATATCGAGATAACATTCCGCGCGCATTTAACACATTTCATTATCATATTTTGACATTACATTAAATTTATTGCCATTTAATTTTGCACGCGATGAGAGAAATGTCAATTTTTTTTTATCGATTCTTCCAGCCTTCGACATATGGAAAGAACGGTTTTGTTGAAGTATTTAAAAAATTAGCTAGATTTATATTTGAAAATAATTTTCTTTAGATCATCAAAATAATTATGTAGGACGCTCAGGTTCGGTTTAATTTTCTGATTAATTTGTGGAGTTCAACTTAATAATAATGTAAAAATTGCATTTTCCTAACTATGGTTTTCTACACGGAGAAAATTTTATATTTAAAATTACTATAATATATGGTAGTAGCTGCGGACATCATGTAAATTATAAGTTTAAATGCTATAGCTATTTTTTTAAAAACAATAATGCAACGTAATTTTTACACTTTTTCATAGTAAAAATTTTTTATTACAAAATCTCAACTTGTTGAATAAAAGTTAATATTGCAAAGATAAGTAAAAAATATATACCTAGCAAATTTTGTTTGCGTATCATAGCAAAAATTAACAGTTTTCATGTTAGAATATTGCTTAAGCACTGATTTAACAAAATAATTACTTTATTTATTATAATTATGTAATAAAAATTAGTATTACCATAGTAAAAGTTATGTCGAAATCATGTTGTGACGGTCCATCGAAAATACTAGACATAGTAAAGTGTGTAATTTAAAATTGTATTAATATAAAATTTTCTCCGTGTAGCTATACTCATTAAACTGATAATTTTATAGTAAGTAACTGTTAAAATTACTCACTATAAAATTATAGTTTTAGCGATTGAACCTAGCTAGAGAAATACAATTTTTATCATCAGATTAACATTAAGTCTAAATCACAAGTTAATCAGAAAATAAAAACCCGAGCCTTAAATTGGTTGCTAGAATGTTAAATCTTTTTCAGAATTGTTGTTTAAGCGTCCTACTTTAAAGATCCAAATAAGTGTCTGACACTCGAGACAAATATGGCAATATTTGACTCTTTATTGCAGAGTGTACAGTATACAAGCTTCCGCAAGCTTTTACGGTCCATTTTCTGCGATGCTGCCATATTTGAGAAAAAACTGCATGTTATCTGAGTGTCCTGTCTCTTACTTGAGGGTCTCTATTCTTATTTTGATGATCCAACAAAATTATTTTTATATCTAGCTAAATTTCAAGATTTTTCACACTGAGAAAATTTTTTGATAAAAATGAAAGAACGAGAATAATTCTGATTACATCAATCAAAATTTTTTATTTTAATTAAATTATGATAGATTGAATCAGAAAATTCTGATTTGTGTCCATTTTCAACCAGAATTCCAATGCAAACAGACTTTTTATTCAGTGCAGCAAAACCATTTTTTCTGTGCAAAAACTCCAATATCAGGAGTCGAATTTGTTCCAATAACCTCGATTGTGATAAATCTGTTTGCGTTTCCTTTGGTCATTCGTTCCACAATGAAAAAATATGATATTATTGCTGCACGAAAGTGTTCGATGATCCGTGTTCTCGCGATTGTAAATCATTGCGCGGCGACAATTGCGAGGCTACGAAAGGCTCTCATTTGATGCCGAGAAAGGAGCATTGGCGGTTGTATAGGTGAATGGTTGGTGGCGAAAAGAAAATAGATCGTTTCGCATAATAGATATTGACTTGCAACGTTAATTGCAACGAGAGTCGCGCGCCGTGTAAAACGATCGGCGCTCCATATCGATTACCCAGTTGCTAATATTAGCACGCCGGAGGGATTTAAATTTCGTTCGTGCGTAACAACAAGTTACGGTACAGCTTTTCTGATACGCCCGACATGAAAATCAACCGGTTTGAGCCACGTAAAAAAAAAAAAGTTTGTTAACAAATTGCGAACATTTGAAAGTTTGCCCATGCCTAACCCTGATAAAAATATCATATATTAAATACATTTTTTAGTAGTTACCGCGGACAGTTATATTTTTTTTATTTATAATAGTAACTGAAAAAAAAACTATAGGATCCTCATCACGATAAAATGAATTGCCTATAATAGCTGCGTAGTGCGTAAAAACGCGCAAAATCTAAAATCATTTACTGAATAAATGAGAAAATAAATCGAAAATAATTACGCAGTATTTTAACTAATAATAGTATATTAATAACTAGACAATAACTGAGCAGATATATCTACGCTAATTGCACATATTTTTATTAGGAAGACTGCTTCAGCCTCTGTGAATAAAACTGTATCAAGTTCTTATTTATTTCCTACGCAATATTGTTACACTCTAACGCCCAGTTCCACAACTCACGGTTAACTCTTAACCGAAGTTCAATTTGTTTCTCATCTCTTTCCAATTCGAGAATTGGAAAGAGACAATGAATAAGTTGAACCTCGGTTAAGAGTTAACCGTGAGTTGTGGAACTGGGCCTAAGAAATATTGGCGTGGATTTAATACTTGTATAATTCTCACTGTTGTATTAAACTCGCCGGCTCGCGTAAAGTAGCCACGGTAGTGTCGCTGCGCGTAGCTTAGCGTCGAGACACTACCAGTGTCTCCAGATATTGACACCAACATGGTATGATGTAAATTCCAAACCTCTGGTATTTATATCAACATCATCAAAATATGGATTTAAAACCCATGTTAAATCCACATTATTGAGAATATAGTAATATTAGACAATAACTGGATGTGTAAGAAAATTGCATACATTTCTATCAGGATAATGATCGATCGAACTGTAAGGAGATCTAATCGAATTGTGTTAATATTGTGGTACTTTATCTCATCGAAAATAGAATATTTGGGACAAAGTACATAAATCTTGCGAGGTTGCCCGATCGCTTCCGAAGTTCCGCGTTATGGCTGGTAGCAATTTTTCAGAACGAGATCGTTTTACTCTCTCCTCCGCCCGTCATGTTGGACAGTGTTAGGCGAGAGATGACGAATGGAAGAGGAGATCAGGCAAAGAGCTTTCGTACTCGGCTCCAGCTAACAGCTGGCAAGCAGGGAGACGGGTAGCACCGTTAGCGCAAGACTCGTCCGATTCTTCGTAGATCAGCCTTCTCGATCGTACCTCGCCTCTCTTTATTTCTTGTCAGGGACCAAGTGTTCAGGGACGTACGGGACTTGAGTCGTTCGTTATGGAAAAATCACGGTGGCACATAAACCACTTATGACCCAACCATTGATCTTCACCTTAATGATTCTCGATTAAACGTGGAATTGATTTTTCTTTATGAAAAATTTTCTAAGCTACTGGATGTTTTGTAATTTTTTATACGAATTCAATGTATAGGATTCTCAAAATAATAAATAATTATATAAGAAAGGCGCTTTAAGAGTTGAATAAAATAAATATACGTTGTCTATTACTTAAAATATAGTAATTATGTATTTTAAGTTATAGACATTATATTTATCGCACCAAGAATAATTAATGTTGTTTCTTAAAGCCCCTTTTTTACATTATATTGATTTTTATACAGGTTAAGATTAGAATAATGTAATAGAAATATTTTTTTTCAATTTGATTTACAGTCTGAAAGTGGATAAGGATTTAATCAAACAATAAGACAATGCCACTTATAATTGTCAGTCAAGAAATTAATTCTAAATTCTTATAAAATGTATATTACGTTGTAATGTATTGTAATATATACATAATTATATTTTTCTATCGAAAATAGGAATTGGATTTTGGATTGCAAAACAGAAAGACAATTTTTATTATAGAAGTTTCTTATTTTATCGTATAAAGTTTACAATTAACGAAGTTCAAGATTAACGAATCTGCAAAAAATAAAAAATTTGTGTATAATAAGAAAACGGCTCAAATCATTATAAATTAAATAATTAAACAAGAGGCTACGAGTCAATTAAATTACTTTAATATTAATAAAAAATAATTATAAAATTTGTGTAATTGTTTTTCGATGTAAAACACTTTTAGGCTGTCTCAGGCTTCAATTCCCTTAAGAAATCTAATACTGGTGAATTTATTATTGAAAGAGATTAATTAGTTATAATTACTTGAAATATTAAAAGTAATTAATTATTTGAAGTATTAAAGGCATTGTTGTTTAATACTCTAAAAAGGTAATTATTGTTTTTAATTACTGTCTTATTACATTTCTGTAAGAGTTATCTTTGCAAGATTAAGCCGTGGGAGAATTATAACGCTATCTATTGCTCCCAAAGCGATCGCTTTCAAAGAAAACATTGTGGCACGTAGTATATCCGTGTACGTTCCTGGAGTCTCCACCACTTGGTCTAACCGGCACTTGCCACTTCTACTGCCGTCGAACTCCAGCGAAACGAGAAACCGGGATCCTCGGTTCGGCTTGGATCGGCTCAGTCAGTATTGCACCGCGGCGCGTTTTCCGCGCGCGTGATACGAGCACGCCGTACCCGGGAATCACGTTTCAAATTATCCGTCACCTTCTGTCGAGTGAAGGGCTTCTCGTTACGCAAATCCCAATCGATCGAAGGTCGACGGTATCAGTCGTTCAGCTGAAACCGCCGGAACAGAACCGTGTGAACTCCACTCTCTCGGTGTGTCGTTTATAATCGATAATCCTATAGTTAATCGCGTGCCAAAAGTGCCGAGAGAGAACGGAGATGTTACTGCCAAAAGGACGGATGTGCGCGTTTTCATCGAGTCGTTGATGCTGTGAGAAGCAAGAAGTGTCGCCGGAACGAAAGTTTTTACGCTTATCCGTCACACTCTTGGTATCTTATGCATGTAGCGTTTGCAATTGTACGTGCGTGTTTTGACACTCGCAGATGGTTCGATTTGATTCTATCGCCGAATTTCACGGCCACTAACTGGAGCAATCGTATGCTCTATTTTTTTATAAATTGATAAAATAAACGTGCAATTTTTCAAATGTTTGTCTGTCCACTTAATTTAAAATTTTATATAATTTTATATAAATTCTGAATTTTTTTTAATCGCATTGGAATTAACCTTATAATTTGCTTGTACATCTGATCGATGTTAGTTTTTTTTTTCTCTTGTAATTGAAAATCAACATACTCAGTTAAATCAAAAATTATTGTTCTACTTATTATATTACATTAATTGTCACATAATATAAAATTAATAAATTAGTTGTAACATAATATGTTACATTTTATTAATTATAACATAATATACAATTAATAAATTGTACCATAATAGGGTATCGCAATTTCGAACATGGTACACTTTTGAACGAAATAAAATTCTCATTTCTAGATTCAACTCTGAGCTCATTGTGTGACGGATAACACCAAATAAGAAAAAGTTAAACTTGGACCTCGAAAATTGTATTCAAATCTTATTTCGTTCAGAATTGTACCATGTTCGAAATTGCACCTTACTTTATGTTACAATTATTTTATTATTATTGCAAATTAGTATGTTATATTAATCTATTATAATTCAATGAAAAAAAAGTGATTGCATTCATTAGAATTCCTGTTAAAAATGGAAATTAGAATTTTTTAGTTGAATCTATTATAATTTTAATTGAAACCAAAATTCTGAGTGATACACGGAGAAAAATGTAAAGTAATATGCGACAAAGAATTTTAGTAAATTTTATGGAATTGGCAAATCCATATAGGAACTGACGCTCTTATATAAAATTTACTTTACTTTTCTAGTAAATGAGCGATCTTCGTATAGCCATACTGTAAAGCTGTAAGGTAATAATTTACATTTAGTAAAGTAAATTTTATGCTACTGTAATTTGTTATTATTTCTTAATGTATAAATTATCATACTTCTTAATAATAGAATTTACTTTACAACGAATTTTTTGTTTTAGCTCAAACAAAATTTACTGCGCAGTAAAAAATATAAATGTATAAAGTCTTGAAAGTTATTTGTGCTTACAGTCTTGAAAATAATATGATTCACTTTACCGTAAAGTAATAATTATTTGAATAAATTTATTATAATTGTAATGTATGTAATTTTTACCTTACATCTTTGATTTTTATTTTCAGACAAGTAAAGTTTGTTATAAGTTCGACAAAGTAGCCAGAATATTTTTACTAGACTTATAAGACTATTCATTTTTCTCCGATGATCAGAATCTTCTGGTTCATTTTGTATTCTTGTTCATTTGCAACAAGAAATTTTTCTTAGTATTATATTACAATTTAATGATCACCCCTTCGTGAGATTCATTATACAACCCGTATGTGAAACGGGTACTATGAACCACGCAACGATCGTCTTAATAAGTAACGATCGCCGGATGGACAGAACGAACTCTCGTTGTCGTTACGAGCGAACGATGAAAATTAGCATGTACTCTCGTACTTCCTCTTTTCTCGCATCGCTTGGTGAACGCACTCATCGGAACAGACTCGCGTTCTCTTTTCTTTTTCTCGTACAGACTACGAGATCGATATTCTGATCGTAACTAGTTATTCTCGCGTTTCCTGCGTCTCCGTTTAACCGATTTATCGTATACACACTCGGGGAACGATATCTGACATCTTATCGCGCCGTCTCTCGCACGGTCGATTGCGCGCAACTACTCTCCTTATGTTCGCCTTGTGTCAAATTCAGTAATCGTAAGTCGGTCGGCGCATTCGATTCGTGTCACTCGCTTTGCGTCGTGGAAACTGCAGTCGCTGCAACTCGGTAACACATAAAAGATACTTAACAAGCAAAAAATTAGAAAGATTTTCGCGCTCAATATTTTAAATAAAAATTTAATAATAATTTTGGATTGGACTAATGAGAGCTAATTTATTACCGCAGTAAAGATACTTAATTACAAACAGTATGTAATTATAGTAAATACTTTTTTAATCTTCTCTTTGATTCGCCTCGATTTGCGATTGTACTTTTATCTGAGATGCAAACAAATAGTTTAATTTTCCATTATCTTCAATAAGAATTTAAATTTTTAATAAAATACATTTATGTGTAAAAATTAGAGATAAAAATTATATAAATATGTTTTGTTAAATTCTTCACTGATTGTCAGAGAAAAGCGTTTGGTATTTATGACTATAATTGCATGGTAAAATAACTATGGTTAGAACTTCCAGGTTTATGGTTATTACTGATATTAGCAATAATATGTGTAGTTCTCTCAAACATGAAAAAATTTTACTATAAATTATGAGATAATTTCAAATATTAATATAGTAAAATGTCAAGATATAAATGGTAAATAAAATAAGCATTTTTATTTAGTAAATGCTGTCTTATTTATAGCGAATATAACTATTTTTTTTAATTTACGTACTATTTATTTAATAATAATAACTAAAAAATATATTAAGAAAAAACTAAAAATTTTTAAGCAGTGTATATGACTATTAATAGCACAATTGACTGTTTGCATGATTAAGATAACTATAAGTATATACTATAAAGAAATGACTATAAATTATACTTAAATTATGGTAATTGCAATTATTTTTTCTCTCGGTGTTATTGAAAAAAAAACCGGAAAAGTAAGTTATAAATAAACATGATATTTCAGGATCAATATTTTGTGGTTTAGTTTTACATGTAAATAATATTGAAGATTGTTTCTAATTGTTGCAATTTTCGAAGATCTGTGAAATGTCCACTGTTTTAATTCTTACCACGCACGTCCTACTTAATTTTATTAATTTATATTATAATGTACTTGTTTACCTTCTTCTTATCATTTCTTTATTTTGCGTTTGGAACGATATCATTAGCTTCGTTTCGGTTGAGTAAGTTCACAATTTCTTACATTTCTGGGTCGAAACGCAATGTTATAAGTCCGTATTCGATAATACTCGTTTCTTTTTCTTTCGATGTGATGCCGATTCCAATTACAATACATGCACGCACACAGTATGCAAATGCAAGATGCAACGAGTTTTCTCATCATCTTTCACTCGCTGCTGTATTCTGTGCAATTTCGCATTTACGGACGCCACATTTCCAAAGTTTCACACTTGGTATTTCTATTTAATGAGGATAACTTGAATTATAAAAGGAACAGATTTGCATTGAATCTCTCTTATAATCTGTTGAATCATGTCAGATATATTAATTTTCTTTTTAACGAATATATTAATATTCAACAAATATTCTAAATAAACATTATTTAATGGCATTATAAATTTTAATTTAAGCTCGAATATATTAGTATTCAACAAATATTCACGAATATATTAAATAAAAATTATTTAATAGCGTTACAAATTTTAACTTAATATCGAATTGATTTTCTTTGAATTAAAAATATAAATTATAAGTTTTTTATTCAAAACGTTAAATATTAAGCAAATTTTCAGGATGTATTTTTCTTTTATCAAGTAATCCTTGCTATTTGATGAGTTTCTCAATCTTTTACCATAATTAGTGCAACATAATTATAGACTAACTATTAAGTTATTTTGGTTCCCATTTCGTTTTCTCATTCGCGAATAATGCGAATCGTTTAAGTATGCGGTTAGATTAGACGGAATCCGCTAAACTTGGTTCACGGAATCAAGTCGCGCCTTATTAAGAAGAAACGTTCGAATACCATACCGATATCTTATCGAAGCAATTCGTGAGTTTACAATTAAAAACAAAGCGCTGGAAATTATTAAATCGAGCCTGTAGGTTCGTTCGAGCAAGAGTCGGTGAAAACCTCCATCGAATTCACAACATTTACAATCACGCGCTGTGCAACAACCTGCCGCCGTTTTATCCGCCGTAAATGCAGCGCTGTTTAATTACCGCATTGTTCATTCGCTGTATTAACTGCAGCAGCCCGAGTTAAACGCCTCGTCCGTAATTTATATAACGAGCGGCGATTGCCGGTATCTCGCTCCAGCGATCTACCATTTACTTTCTTTATACATACGTATCTCGCCTCAATGGCAGACATAGGTGTAAATACAACAATGCAACGCTTCCCTCGAAACTCCTATTCCATAGCGTTTTTGTCGAACTACGCGTATTCTTCTACTTTCTCCAAATCAATACCGCATCGTTAGCATTTTTTGATAACTTTTAATATACGATACTGATTGTCATATTAAATTACATTATATAGGAAAAAATATTCAGCATTTTACAATAAAATTCTTTAACATGGTCACGATAGCATAACTACTGTTATCCTATCTTGCTGGACTATCGCCAGTCAAGTATTTCCCAAGGGATGATAATAATTTTCTGCAAAGTAGGTATATTATCTGTGAGCGTTAATTGTGTATCATGACTCATGGCCTATTAATGTAACAACTTTCACATCTGATTTTTTATTTTCTAGTTTATTTATTTAGTTTATTTTCTAGTTTATGATAGACTTAATCTTACTTGACTTGATAATATAAAAATTGTGTTTTTCTAGCTATGATATCATCACTAAACTGAAGATTTTGTGTAGTGGTAACTTCAAAAGTTACTCACTACAAAACTATCAGTTTAGTGATAGTTTTACCATAGCTAGAAATATACAATTTTTACATTGTCATCAAATTAAGTAGAACGCTCAAACTCGATAATAACACTGAAAAAAGAAGTGTTTAATTTTAAGATATTAAAATGTTTTATTCTTGTCTCCATTTTTTAAACACTTAAAAATGTTTTAGTTTTAAACTTTTTCAATAGACAAAACACTACGTGTTTGGATTTAAAACGTATAGTGTTTTAATTCAAACACGTAGTGTTTTGTCTATCGAAAAAGTTTGAAACTGAAACATCTTTAAATATTTAAAAAAATAGGGACAAGAATAAAGTACATTTCTTTTTACAGTGAATACTGCAAAAGTTTTGGC